TCAATGGTCATAAGAACCGAACCATGGGAAAAAAAGGAAAACGAGGGATAGTAAGAAAAGCAGGGTTTGCATGGATGCAAAGCGCAGTAGAACAAAAAGAACAAGTCGCAGATGAAAATGAAAGTGGGATGATACCCATTAAAACCAAAATAGAGCAGAATGGAAGAGTAGAGATCGAAGCAACGGCACCGAAGGGAAAAGAAAGCAAAGTAAGGCAAACACAAGAATAGTTGGGACGACAGGAGAGACAAGAATAGAAGCATGAATCAGAACAGAACACACGACCACATATTTTGGCAGGTTTCGAGCGAGATAAAGACAAAGTCGACAATCAAAAAGCGAGACGAGAGTGACAATAAATTAACCCCGCATCCAAAAACCCAAAAGTTTAAAAAAGAGTTGAGATGAAATGAAAAACATGAATGCGAAGGAGAAGCAAGTACAAAATGAAATAGGAGTCGCAACACCAGAATACGAATAGACACAAATTTGATATGTTTTTGAGTGCGCACAACCAACCAGAATTCCGGGGATCACCGAAGAGTAGGGAGGGGCCAAGTAACAAAACCCACGAGATCAAACATAGTGCAGGAAGAACGGAGCAGGTTACCGTCAAAAAAGGTATAGCAAAGAACGGGAAAAGAGGGCAGATGATTAACGTTTTTTACGTGTGTGCGCGCGTTACCGTATCCAGATATACCCATCAAAGGGGAAAAAGTCATGGGTCACAAGAGGTATCCCCAATCCAATAAGAAAACGAAACGTCAAAACAAGGGTTTTTGGAAAAGAGATTGAAAAAAGGCGCGATTTAAAAAGTTGAAACGAGAAGCCAACAAGACAGTGAGCACGATAATGGATGGAGTGATGGATAGAACCAGAGTTCGGGAAATTTGACAAAAGTTTCCCGCACATTCCAGTAGAAGCCATCAGTAAGCACAAGACCGCGGGGAGCAGAAGAAAAGTCCAATCCAACCCAACCAGTTGCAGTTAGAGCGTAAAAAGGCATTAGGGCAACAGAAAAAACAGAAATAGGAATAGACGCGACACAAGTCAAGTCAAGGTAAGACAGAACAGTAAATTAAAAAGGACGCGGCGCAATCATCGCGTTAACCGCAAAAGTCGCATTAGAAGCGTAATCAGTCGCAGAAAAAAGACGGATGATTTTTACGTGTACGCGTCGAAGAATTTGTTTTTTATCCCCATCATATGTCCCATCATGGGTCAAAGAGGGATAGGATAAAAATGGCGCGCACACACAAGTTTGCGTCCAGGCACAAAGAATTTTCGTCGGTGTAAACGTGTGACCAAAGGAATCAAGGAAGAGACCAAAGACCAAAAGACCCAAGAAGACGACGCACGTCGAAAGAAACAGGAGGAATAACACGGTAACACGGAAACACGAAAAAAAAGAGAACCAAGAAAAAAGACAAATTTGCAAAGAGCCCAAAAAGTTAAAACGCAATTCCGCCGGTTTATACGCATCCCAAAAAAATCCCAGATTAACCCGTGGATTGTCCGTGTATGCAATAGAGAACCACGGGAAACGAGATTTATTAGCCCATAGCCAGTCGGAGAGAGGTTGTGATGAAAACGAAAGCGAAAACCCCAAAGACGGCAGAAGAGAGGTTAAACAGGGACGCGTTTGCGCAGAAAGTCCAGAAGGTTAGAGGCATATGGCATAGCCAGTCGGAGAGGTTCAGATGAAAAAGAAAGCGAAAAACCCCAAAGACGGCAGAAGAGAGGACGCGTGCGCGGAAAGTCCAGAAGGTTAGAGGCATACCAGAACACAAGCCCGGAACACACCAAAAGTGTGCATATACGCACCCACCCCGGTCAATTAGGCGTATATTGGACCGGGTTATTGCAGGGTGTAGGGTATAGCAGTAGAGGGATGTATAACCAGGTTTAATGCAAAATCCCGTCATCCCATAATCCAATTTGTCCAAAATAGGATTTTTGGTGGTATGTGCGATCACACCAGGTGTTGGATGGTGGCCCGTTGGGGTTTAGATGGAAGCGCGCGTCCGTACGTCGGAGGAGGAGGAGGAAAGTTTGCAAGTTGCCCGCGGAAGCAAGGAGGGAGTGCGTCGTGTAGGAGACGACCGAAGGACATAGAGAATTGGGACGGAAAGGAACGTGAAAAGCCAAGAGAAAGCCCAATTCAAGAAGAGAAGGAACAATAAAGATTTGAGAAGCGACGATGGAAAGATCCGGGGGGTGTTGTTGTGTTGACAGCGGCAGTTACGCGTATATGCAAGAGTGGGAGGACGTGGCGGCAGTTATTGTCGTCGTAGTGAGTATTTGCAGCGCGACAGCCGAAAGAGACAGTCGGAAAGAGAAAGACGAGGACCAGAACCAGAGCCAGAACCAGAACCAGAAACGGAAAAAGGGGAAAGAAAAAGCAACATATCCATCAGTCTCGGTTCACAACCATCGGGAAAAAGAATGAAAAACAGAACAGCAAGGGGAGGTGTTTCGCTGTGCTGTACACTGACCTCTTGATTTCACCATATCTCGAGCCACCACCACCACCACCACCACTACCACCACCAATCCCCAACCCAGACGAAAGGTAACCTTCGTCTCCGTTCCAGCTCGAAATGGCTGAACCCAATCCTCCTGGTCCAAGACCACCGTAACCTCCTCCTAATCCACTCGCGCCGCCAGCATAAGAAGATCCGATGGGCAAAGGTCTCGTCGCAGTAGCTGCAGCCAAACTCTGACTCCGACTCCTCGACAAATCGGGAGCATACGTCCTACCGCGCGTCATAGGGTTAGCCGGGGTAGACAACATCGAAGGCGAGATCGAGGAAGACAAGGAAGGTGGGAGACGACCTCCTCCGATCCCTCCAGCTCGCCCATGGTACGACGAAGGCTCAAACCCTCCTGCTCCTCCTCCGAACCCTGTTCCATCATCATCATACCCATTATCAACAGCGGGTCTTCCAACCATCGCGCTGGCATCATCAGTTAGTTCCTCTGATTCGTCGTCTTCGAACGTGGACGAAAAGGACCGTTCTCTCATCGCTGAAGCAAAGTAAGACGATGAAGTCGATGCGGAGGAAGGGTTGCCCTGGTAATGGGTATGGGAAAAGGACGCGCTGCGAGAGCCCATTCCTGGAATGGATATTCCACCTGGTCCTCCACTACCTCCGCCGGGGGTTAATAGACGGTTTTGGGATGACCACGGGCTGCGGGATGACGAAACGACTGGGGAAGAGAGAAAAGGTTGGTCCGAGGACGAACGAGGTGGTTGGGAAGCTGCTCGTTGATGTTGTTGAGTGTGAGAAGGTGGAAGGGGGTCGCCGGTGAATTCAAAACGGTTGGTTCGGTCGTTCTGGTCGTCATCGTGGCCGTGGCCTTGGTGTTGCATTTCCACCGGATAGCTGGGCGGTTGGGGTCAGATGGGTCGGGGTAATGGAGAATTGCTGGATTGGGATATGACTCACCTCGAAAAGAAAAGAGGAAATCTATGAAGAGAAGAGAAAAACTAGTAGTTGTAGTAGTAGTAGAAGTCTATGGTGGTATGGAGGGTATGGTCTATTGGTTTTGGAATTTACGAGCCTGGGAGTCTAGAAATTGGCCAGCTGACCCCAGTGCATCACATGTCAGACCTGCCCTTGTCCTTCTACTCACTTGATTCCCGACCAACATCTCTGCCGTCCTTCTCCCAAGCGGTCGTGTGCCATCAAATCCCTCTCCATATAATGTCTCGAAACTACCAAATGGCCGCCACTACCCACCCTCTTACCCAGTGACCTGACCATTTCATGATTCAAAATCACAAGCACCCCCCCTTTCTTTCGGACCATGATTACCCTTTTTGTTTTGGGGAGATTTCTTCCGTTCAATTCAATTTCTCTTCCCCTTCAAGTCATCAGGCCGCCCAAGGACGATTGTCGATGAACTAGAACAACCTCGACGAAAAAAACACCCATTTCGCAACGGTACCGAGTTCTTGCAGCAATCCGGCTCCGGGTTCATCAAACATGGTTTATGGCACACCGAAGACCGATGCACGGTGCCTGAGGCTGCCTTAAAGTTACCAAACCCCACAGAGCGGGAGTCTATTTCCAAAAACTGATACGTATACCGAACGCCAAGCTAAAACGGGAACCAAAAGCGTATAATCGGTACTCTAAGCCTGACCATGGGACACCATGGGACAAAGCTGGGTTTGGCTACTTAATTGAGACCCTTGAATCTGCAGGGTGCTGTTGAGCGCTAGTGGACTATTTACCACAAATCCGGAATCGCTATGCATACAACAAATTCGGAGACTGCCTAAAGCTGCAAAATCAAACTATGTACCACCGAGCTATCCTCAATTTGGAAACCTAGAATTCGGAAGGGTGTCACGACGTCGACCCCGAGGAATTTGGTTTTGATCAAGTTCTAGGGAAGTGAGTACAGTGACCGTGTTGCCACCAAAGACTATCGGCATCACAATCTAGTATGTGTACCAATGTACATATATGTTTGCTTACCTCTATCGGTATACGTATTTAACCGGAATTTTTTTACTTACCCGAATCGTGCAGTGCTTCACTAAAGTTCTAAATGACGGAGAAACCAACAACTCTTTCAAGCTTCCACTCACTTCGCCGTCGTTCCATTTCCATTGAACCAGAACCTCCGATCACAACCCCATATACACGTTCCACATCAGACTAAAAAGCATCATGGTACCACAAATAACTTGCGGAATCAGTCTCAGTAACTTCAACTCGGAACTTCAACCTGGCTTCTCTCCTTCTGTACATCATATAATCAAACTCAAATTTTACCCCAACAAGTGTGTTAGATGTGTTAAAACCCCGTGTCTTCGTGTCTTCTAGTCCACTGTAGCTCGGTTTACACGCGTTGAGATGAGAGAAAATGGATGGGATTATGAATCTATCATAGTAAACTCAAAAATCAAGTTGATGATCTAAAGTACGAACCTGGTCCAACCTGTCATCCCGAAGAGGATATCATAATCATAACCGATTCTATGCCGTGGGGGTATAGCTCAGCTGGGAGAGCAGCAGACTGAAGTCTAGTGTCGTATTCACCGCATTCTGAAGGTCCCGCGTTCGATCCGCGGTACCCCCACATCCGGAAGAAAAAGATTTTTTTTTTCATTGCTTTGCAACCGCTTATTGAACAATTTTGTGTCGCAAATAACGATATCTTCTTTCTTCAAAGGTTTAAAAAGTATTGACATTTCCAGTCATCAAACATGAATTTCTAATCCAGCTGAAAAAACGACGTAGGCTTGAATGGTTGGATGTTAAGTAAGTAGTACGTATTGATTACGAGGCCGACTGAAAGGTCGGTCACCGATGTGGTCTTGTTTGTCAAGATCCTAGTTGATGTGGTTCTGTTTCGATCAGAAGCCTCTTTACCAGTACAGCTGATGGGCTGTTCTAGACCTCATACTTGCCACGCTTGCGGTGGCCCACTTCATAAAAATAGTAGTACTTATCAGTACTTACCTGTACAATGCTTTTTCGCCGCCCGAGTCCGGGGCCATTCAACATTTTTTCTCGGGGGAAGAGGGAAAAGATTTGTCGAATGGGTCTGAAGTTTGTTGCTAGAAAGATCTTTCATCTTTACCCGTAAATATATTCTCTTTTCTGCACGAATATCTCCGTCGTTCAATGCCTAAAGCCTACAAAGCCCTCTAGTTATTTATTGTACTCAGAAATTCATTGATCAATTTATACATAATACATGTGTCGTAGTTCAAACTTATAGCAGTGACAGCAATCATCAATGTTCCTTTATTATTCATCCGAAAATTCAGACCGGAAGAGCAACCAGGTAATGAAGAAGGCTGATATTGGTGTTGATAGCCCGGCATTTTGTCAGACGCCAGCCGGCACCTGCCAAAAGCTGCTGGAACTGAAGAATTGTGTGTTCTTGTGCATTGAAGTAGTACATCATCTACGTGAAGATAATCAGTTCAGATTGTGGGATGACCCGTTTACAACTTTGAAATTACGCACATCCATATCCAGAGTATACACCTGATCATTCAGCGGACCATAATTTGGTAAAAGAGGCTCCGGAGCAGCATCGACATTGACATCTTCTTCAAAACTGTCTTCTGTTTCATGGGAAAATTGACAGGCATACGGGATAACATAGTCTATAATGATCAGTTTGGTGCTGGACATTGCTGCTTCCCGTAGGTTTCGCAGAATTATGCCGTTATATGAATCTGGCCAATTGTGAAGGATTCCTTTCATCACGAATACATCGGCATCCTTGATTGGCTGTTGATTCAGGAAATTATATCCTTCCAAGGATGAACATTAAAAATCTCAAGTTTTATGAAAGAGAGCTTGTGATTTGTACTTACCTTGAAACTGTAATTTTCCCCTGGTAATCTCTTCATACATCTCTGTCATATAAAGCTGAAATTTTAATTAAGTAACTTCAACTTGATTGATTTTGGACGCAATGATTTTGTTTTTACCTTTTTGCCTTCTTCAACGATGTGTGGAAGGTCCTGAATGACCACTGTGTAACCAGAATATTTCTTAATAAGTGGTGTGGTTGTAGTACCAATACCCCCTCCAACATCTACAACTTTTGCTGCAGGTGAGATTGAAGGCCAGTCCAGTACTGGATCCATAACATCCAATTAAATATTTGAAATTTTCTAAAAGAAATCGCTGCTCACCCTTAAAAATTAAATCTGCAGGTTGCATTGCAGTAAAGCCCTGCAATGCACGTGTGAAGTTGCGCTGTCGCTGCTGCTGCTCTGGAAGTGCAAGAAATTCCCAGAACGAAAGAGAGGTGTTCATTGCCTGACCAAAGACTGTCTTTGTTAACTCATCGCCAGACTGCGTATATTCAGCATCTTTCAGTGCCTCAGCTCTGGCAGCTACATTACACTTCGCATCTATGTCCAGACTATTTTGTATATCAGAATCAAGACAAATAGAGGACTGGTCGCACTCACTGAAGGTTACAAAGCGCAGGAAAAGCAGAACTTTCATACTTGGTGCTGGGGCTAAACGAAGGCTTGTTAATTCGGGTGTTCAATATGCATTATGATCGGAACTTACTCTGCAGTCAGATTTTCAATGCTTTTACCAGTATCAAGTGTACTGGATACTCTGTTGTTTGCAAAAACATCAGGTTCTACCTCTCTGTAACAATGATGTGTAGCAAGATATCTCAGGATCCGCGCTTTGAGATGGTGGTATACTATGTCAATAGCAACTCGAAATACCGGACAAGCACAAGGAGGACAAAAAAACAACATTACCTAACTTTGAAGCATCAATTCCGCATTTTGTGGCTAAATTGTTTACATGCATTCCCTTTAGACAGATCTGTATTAAATCACGGTGTTAATCTGTGCACAAAACATATACGCACTTCTGAACCAGCGTCGCGGAGAATTTCAGTGACATTGGCTTCCAAGCACACCTTGACTGCTGCTGAGTGATGGCTCTGATACATCAAGTAAGACCTCATGTACCACGGGAGAAGTTGTGACATACCCCAACTACAAGCTGATAGACAACATCGGTGGGAGGAACCAGTATGGTAGCAAGATGCAAACATGCAGCTGCAGCGAGTTTGGCAAACTCTGCAGCAGAGTCATTTGTGCGGAACGCCTCTGAGTCTTGAGTGAATGAAGGGCTATTGAGGTTGGGGAGTTCGACGTTGTTTTCATCACAAAATTTTGTGAGATTGGAGATAGCAGAATTGATGATAATCATGAGCTGAGAGATGGGTTGATCCATGTTCGAGGGGTGTTGAAAATTCCAACTCTCGATTTTGCTGCTTATAACTGTTTTGTACTCAACAAAATTCGGCTGAATCCAATTCTACCGATTCTGACAACGGATCCGGAAATGTTTCGCTGCTTTCTAGAAAGCGGTAAATACGTGGGTTACAAAAAGAAGTAATATGTAAGAGTAGCGATTTCTGATATTAGACCGCATCTGCAACGCGAAAAATCCCAAATGATAAAGGGTCTACTCAATTAAAAGCAATTGAGTAGACCCTTTATCATTTGGGATTTTTTCGTTGCAAATGTGGTCTATTGCTGAGATCCAGCTTTCACTCGTTGGAGCTGTTTGTAAAATTACAGCAAACGGAATGACCGTAGACTGTTTCTGAAAAAACACATCCAGTAACTAATACCAAATTAACTCCGATGGCAAACACAAGTGCGAGTATAAATAATGTCTGCCGTTCTTATAAAAGAGAACGGTTATAGGTTTAATTCGTGTGTGGAAAGTTATAGGAGAAGTTTGGACATCGTTGTCAGACTTTCTTCTGCTCATGGTGAACATAAAAGTAAGTATTTAAGTAGTGATAGAGTTGGAAGGCGCAGGCACCAATGAACCGTGGTAGACCAAAGTGTGGAGTATAATTGGCTACATTTGGTATTGCTTATTGGATATGTTTTTTTTGGAAACGGTCTACGATCATTCCGTTTGCTGTAATTCTGATAGATTTATATTTATATATACATATCAAGAAAAGACACATACCATTGCATCACCTCGGAAACAATATGACTTCGGCAACATGTATGCAAACTATTTTAGATGATTACAATCATCCACCGGACAATGAGACCGCAAAATTTAGGCGGTTTGTAAATAGTATCTCTTGGTCTCTCTTCAGGAAATAGGTATGTAGGTAGCTAATAGATGTATGCAATAATTCAATCCTATGCCAGCTGTATTATTATTAGGAGGGGACAAAATGCAGGATAAAGGAAACAAGTAAAACAAGCTTTTACCAGCGGAACCAGCCAATGAGTTCAGTGGCTGGTGGATGAATGTATACAGATACATATCAAAATCTCCAGCCGTCGTTAGTTTTGCAAACACTCATTGAGATTTGTGTGCTCAGGCTGGGTTCAGTCTGGTTCAGATAGTTTTTTGTGAACTCTGAACCGAATCTTTGGTTCAATCAAATTCAATGAACCAAGTTGACTGCGGGTTTGAAGATGTCCAAAGAAAACTTTTAATTCATTTTGGGCGATGCACGATTCTGTACTGCATTAAATCATTTATATGCCAGACTGCTTAACAAGGAGAATTTCTAGAGTTGACGGGTCCAACAACGGGCCCCACATATGAGAGTGACAGCACTTTCTGTTAAAGGGAATGGAGTGCCGAACTGTTGCTACGGATCCATTATACAACGGACACAATCTTCTTTTTCTGATTTTGTTTCTAGTATTCTCTCTTATAGTATAGTTTACATGAATACTCTCACAGCTTAGCTGAATGGAGAACGGTTTTACGAGCCTCTCTTCTCGGGATAAATCTTCATTTTACTTACACTTTCAATAAGTAATATGAACACAGGGTACATTGATCCGTGTTAAATTTAGAGCTATTCCATGTTGTATGACCACAGTCACGCCATAGATCTGAAATCAGCTATTAGTACAGATATTTCTTCTAGCACCCTTGCTTGGTCTGCGATTTTACTTTTAACCCTGTGGTCTGGTCCTATCACATCTAACGCCGATTATAGATTCTTGCAAAGACGACTTGTTTAAAATTCATCTCATCTCCCAATGAGTCCAAGTAACTAGGAGTCAAACCCGACCCCGAGATAGTATTCAAGCGGGTTGGATGTGAAATCGACGATGGTAATGACCGACGAGAGTGATGCTCTGAGATCTGGTGTCAGCATCATTGTCGTACTCCCCGGAGTAAATTTGGATTCGGTCCTTTATAGCGGGTACTATAACGGCAGAATAATGACATCATCACAGCCTTATAATTATCGGCCAGTTCGGCATGTGTCAAGCTCTCTATTCCGCATCCTCATTCTCCCATAGATATTAAGTACTCGTATTGTTGTAACCCATAGATACCTGTACATATAATTTCTATGGTTTAGAAAACATACTTGATTCTACAAATTTGGATTTGGGCCATATCAATTATAGTCTATGAACTACATGGGTACAGTTTTTAGATATAAGGAAATGAATGCCATTCGAGGGAGAACATACATGCCAAAGATTGGCCATGGGCTTGGAAGATTGGCCAAATCTTGATGTCCATGTGAACTGTCCAGAAATTTGGCCACAATTTATGTTCTGCAAATTATTAATACCA